CTCCCTTCAGTACTCTCCCTCCTGTCTTTGGGTTCTGTAATTCATCGCAATGTCTCACAGAACTCACAAACCGTACTTACAGTTAAGTGGTTTATTAGGGAAGTAACGGTACAACTTGGGATTGGGATCAACTTGAAAGTAACAGTAATAACTCAGGATGCAGTTCCTCAAACAGGACAGCTGCTTCTCACCCGCTGCCTCTGGCCCCTGCTGGGGGCCTTCTTGGGCAAGTGTTACAACTCTTAACTCCGTGGGTCGCCAAGCACCACCGCAGCCATTTCCCAATGGTCTTCTGGTCCCTGCTGTCTCACACCGCCATCTCTCGCTGTCTTCCATGTTACAGCTCCTGTCTCTGTCTCTCCATGTCCCCCTTTAAGCCTAGCAGGATGGCAAAACTGACCAATCCCCTTGTTAGGGTTTCCTATACCTTATTCACATGGTCTCACTCCCACAAGGGTGCCATGCATCTTATTTACGTTATTAGCAAGCTATCCAATCCCTTTGCTGGACCACAAGCACCTCATTTGCATAGTCCCACCCAGTCATTTGGTGGGAATTACAAAGATCTGGCTAGAAGGGCTTTATTAAGTAACTCACTGTGCAGCACCTAGCCACCCAGTTTTTCTAGCCAGAGGAGACCGATGTTATTAGTAATGTGGTATCCTTCTAAAGGTATTTTATTTTACCCTAAGGGTACCATACTACACTATTAACACTGTTCAGAACCTCTTTTTTTTTTAATTAAAAATATATTTTGAAGACTATCCAAATAGCCGTACATAAAGAGACTTCCCTTCTTTTCTCATGACATAGTTGTCAACTGCACCATTCTTTAATTGGTCTCCTATTGATGGCTAGATTGCGTCCCTCTTAGACTGTTACAAATAATGCTGCTGTGAATAACTTTATGCATGAGTCATTTAGCACAGGTGCACCTATACCTGTAGGGGAAATGGCTAGAAATGGAATCACTGGGTCAAACAATCTGTGGACTTGTGAATTTCCTACACAGTTGGATATCACCAGATTACCCTCTGTAGAGCTTGTACCCGTTTACACTCCCACCAGGATGTATGCAGGCTGACTGGACGTATGCAGAGTGACTGTCGTCATATGACACCAACACACTGCAGTGTCAACTTTTTAAAAAAATTTGCTAGGTTTTTTGTTCAAATGCTTTACACAGTGTTGGCAAAGCGAAAGCCATTATTATTACTTATTGAAAGTGACAACAAACAATAACAACAGATTCTCAAAGGGGAAATGCTTACCTTACCCCAAATTACCCATATCCATTCTTTTGTTGTTGGGCAGGCACCCTGTGGTTCAGGTCTGGGGCTGTGTTCACATTACCGCTGCCTCCAGCTACCACCACGGTGCTGGAGGGCCTGCACGGCTCCTGAGGCACCTGCTCTGCTGCTTGGTCTCGTTGGGCTTTGCCTCACTGGCAGGAAGACCCCTCACAGGACCTCCTGAGCCTCTGCTGCTGGGCCTTTCTAGGCCCCTGCTGCCTGCCCCACCATGCTGCCCAGGGTGTGGGGGAGGCATGTTGTACAGGGCAACTAAGGCCTCTGTCCTGCATGGGCAAGTGTTACAACTCTTCAGCAGCGGACAAAATTCCTGCACGGAGGGACCCAGCTCTATCTCTGGGCTGGCAACCCTACTGCAGCTACTGTCTCTCTCTATAGGCCGACCAGCCCATGGTCTCTCTGTCTTCAGTGTTACAGCTCTCTCTTCTGGGTCTAGGAGGTTCTCAGTGCAGGGACCCCAGGTTCAAAGGACATGCTCTTCTAGATGTGGTGAGGCCCCCCTAAACCTCTGTGGGATTGACCCTTATATAAGTCTAGCAGGATGGCAAAACTGACCAATCCCCAGCTGGACAGCAAGGGGTTCAATCCTATTGGATTTTCAGGCCATTATTTGCAAAGTAAATTGACCAATCCCTTGCAAGATTGTGGCCCAGCCAATCGTTCTGTGGGAGTTACAAGACCATGGCTAGAAAAGCCATATAGAAGTGATTAATTGCACCACGTTGTTACTCAACATACTGTTAAAAATAAAAAGTATAAACATAACTCTATGTTATTGCTTATTAAAACTAAGATGAATTATTTTATCCCTGGTAACATGATAGAGCTGGGGAGCCAAGTGAGGAGGCAGCAGGGCCACAAAGGTGACTGGCATGTTGGGAAGTGTTAGGGATTGAATTGTGTTCCCTGAATGAGATGTTGAAGTCCTAACCCCAGTACCGTGAGTGTGACCTTGTTAGGAAATGTCTTTAGGGGCAATCAAGTCGATTCTGACTCACAGTGACCCTGTGTATAACAGAATGAAACACTAGGTCTTCGGAGATGTTATCAGTTAACACGAGGTCATACTGGAGTAGGGTGGGCTCTAATCCTATAGGTGTCCTTATAAAAGAGGAGAAGGGAGACAGAGACAGATACAGAGAAAGATGGCCATGTCATGACGGAGGCAGAGATTGGAGTCACGCTGTGGCTGCAAGCCAAGGAACTCCTGGGGCTCCCAGAAGCTGGGAGAGAGGGAAGGATCTTCCCCTAGAGCCTTCAGAGAGAGATCATGGCCCTGCCCGCACCATGAAATCCAACATCTAGGCTTCAGAGCTGTGAGACAATGCATTTCCGTTCTTCTAAGGCAGCCGGCATGTGGGGCCTTGCTAGGGCAGCCCTAGGAGACGAAGACAGTGAGCACATAGACATTTTTGAGGAAAATGGGAGCCAGGTTTCTTACTGTCAGAGAAGGGACTTACTAATACTGGAAAGTGTTAAGACTGGAAAGAATCCTGAAGTGCTAGACTGAAATTGGAGGTATTGGCATCAACTCCTCAGTTTGTTAATATGTATATATAGATACAAAAATAGCTGTAGAGATGTGTGTATGTCTGTGGGGTGAGTGTGTCTGTGTATATTGGCATATACATGTGTTTCCTAGTCTGTCTGCTGAGGGCAGCTGGGAGCAGTAGCACCCCAGTAGCAATGAACACAGTGAGCATCCCAAACTTGGTTTTCAAATACCAGTCTCCACTAAAAAGCACCAAGGCTCCTTAGCGAAACGACTAATCTGGGACTGGGGCAGCACTTACAAGATGGTCCTGGAGCATTGTTTTGTACCAGAATATAAGGAAGTATTCAAAGAATGAAGGAGACAAGTCAAAGGACACAGGAGCCAGCTGAAAGGGGCTCCCGCTGGCCAAATCTGGAACAATTTGAACATCAAAACAAATAGTGATAGAAGAGGATAATCATCCATTGAGTAAAATAGGAATCTGTGAGTCCATACTGGAATAAATAAATAAATGGGGAGAAGGGAAAGCTCTTCCTTCTAGCAGAATGACAACTAATAAATGTAGAAGAAATGGTGGGACTAGAAAGTCACTGTTTGAGAACCACCATAGTGGATACTGTTGGTAGGCGGGGGAGTTTCGATGAGAATCAGGATATTGGTTCAGGTTCAGAGTGTCTCCCCACAAAACATTTATTAATTACTACTTAGACATGGAGCCCTGGTGGCACAGTGGTTAAGAGCTTGGCTGCTAACCAAAAGGTCGGCAGTTCAAATCTACCAGCTGCCCCTTGGAAACCCTATGGGGCAGTTCTATTCTGTAAGATAGGGTCACTATGACTCAATGGCAACAGGTTTTTTTTTTTTTTTTGGTACTTAGACATAGCCGAACACCTTGTGGGATTGGTTTTCTGGGTTTGAAGGCTTAGGACCATAGTCTCATGGGACAACTTGGTCAACTGACATAATATAGTTCATAAAGTTTATGTTCTACATCCTAGTCTGGTGAGTAGCATCTGGGGTCTTAAAAGCTTTGAGTGACCATCTAATATACAGCTCTTGGTCTCTATTCATCTGGAACAAAAGAGAGAGAAGGAAACCCAAAACACAGAGAAGAAACTAGTCTACAGGACTAACTGCACGAACCATGGCCTTATCTTCCCTGAGACTAGAAGAACTAGATGATGCCCGGCTACCACTACCGATCCTTCTGATCAGGCCCTTCTTTCCTTCCTTTCTTCCCACCTCCCTCCTTCCTACTATCTTCTTTAACCCTCTTTTCCTTCTAACTCCTCCTCCTCATCTGTTTTAGGAGCCAGGAGCTCAAAATCAAACAAGACTGAATTAGTTTAGTACATCCCAGGAACTCACAGAAAATAGAGACTAGATGAATTTGGAAGAAATTATTCAGATTAAAAAACAAAACAACGTATCTTCCTCAAGTTACCAAAATAATTATCCTTCATTCTCCACCCAAATTCTGACCCTTTCAGCCTGCAGTGTCCATTCCTGTAGCTCAGACCCAAAGTGTGGGTGCTGTAATGTGGTTAGGAGCCCAGTAGTTTCTAGGCTGGACCAAGAGAGGTGACCCCACAGGACAAAGTGGTATGGAGGTGGCAATGGAGAATCAATGCTTCCCTCCCCATGCGCGCGCGCGCGCGCACGCGCACGCGCACACGCACACACACACACACACACACACACACACACACACACACACACACACACGTCTGCTTAAGCAGAGCAGCCCTGATACTTCCTTGCTTGGTAGATTGGGCTTTTTTCAAAAGCTTTGTTTGAAAAGGGGTATCCTGCTGATTTGACACTGTCCTGTTAAAATGTAAATGTAATAATGTATTAGCCCCTTTCATTTTACATAATTTTTGGAGTAGGGTGGGGATGGGGTGGGGAGGAATGGCACTGATGGAAAAACCACAGGGGTAGGTAAGCTTTAGCCAGAGGAGAAGGCGGAATCTGGACAGGAACCTGGGCAGGAGGCCTGCTGGGCGCGGCCAGGGCAGGGAGCAGCGCTGCCAGCCTGGCTCTGTGCCAAGCCTGGATTCCCGGAAGCCCCCAGGAGAATATTCTCCCCAGCCACGTTAGCCGCGTGGAGAACAACGCCCGGGAGAGCTAAGTGCCCTGCACAAACTCACGCCTTTATTAGTAGGGTCAGGATATGAAATCCGGGTGTTCTACCGTCAAAGCCCCACGCTCTCACATGCACTCCGGCTGTCTCGTCGGAGGAGGCTGGAATCACCCCTGGAGCAGATGAAGGGACTGGGGGCTGGAGGTGGAGACCCAGGGGCGGTGACCGCCTGGCGGGAGCGGCCGCGCGCGTACCTGGCAGGCTCAGGGAAGCCGGGGACCAGGTGCGGCCCGTGGGGCGGGCGGGGAGCTGGTCTCCTAGGCGATGCAGCCGCCCGCGGGGGCTGGGGCAGGGCCTTCGCCTGCCATTGCCGTGCCCACAGCCCCGGACGCCGCGCTGAGGCATGAGGTCCGTGCTGCTCCGCTTGGCGCTGCTGCCTCCGCTGCTGTGGCCGGTCCCGGCCGGAGGAGCCCAGGACCGCGAGGTGCTCTGCGGAGGTGAGTACCTGGCGCAGCGGGAGGCCCCCAGTCCCCTCCTCCTCCACACGCGGGTCGGGACTCTGGCGACGAGACCCGCCGCTCCGCAGTGCCCCTTTCCCATCTAGTCCCTGCCGGGCTCCTGGCAGCCCGCCCTGCACCCCACCGTGTACCCAAATGAGAAGCACTGCGGCTTCCCGACTCAGCCTGTGGGCCCCTGGAAACCGACCTCGGCCCACTCTTAGCCATCAAGCGGGGTGGCCTTGAGGGAACCTCTGGGGGCGTCGGGCTCGCCATGGCGTCAAGCGCAGGCACTTTTCTCATATGGCTGTTGGGTACAGGGCGCCATTTAGTTACCATTGATTCAAATGCATGCACTCAGGCTTTCCCGATGTAAATTTGCCATTTGGACTAACAGAATTCGAAGATGGTTTAGTTGTTTAGAGGACGAAAGGCAAACGGTATTCTTTCAGACATACCAATTATAATGGGTCTAAGGAGCCCTGGTGGCACAATGGTTAAGTGCTCAGCTGCTAACTGAAAGGTCAGTGGTTCAAACCCACCCAGCTGCTTCTTGGGAGAAAAGACCTGGTGATCTGCTCCCATAAAGATTACAGCCTAGAAGAACCTACTCGGTCCTATAGGGTGGCTATTAGCTGGAATCGACTCAGTGGCTCACACAACAACAATTACTAAGATGAGTCCCTGGGTGGTGCACACAGTTAACACCCTCAGCTGCTAACAAAAAGGTTGGAGGTTTGAGTGCACACAGAGGCACCTTGGAAGAAAGGCCTGGTGGTCTACTTCTGAAAAATCAGCCTTTGAAAACCCTGTGGAACACAGTTCTACTCTGACACACGTGGGGTTGCCATGAGTCAGAGTCAGCTCAACAGCAACTGGTTTTTAATTACCAAAAGCCTTAAAAGATTCAGGGAGATTAGGGTGAAGGAGGACAAGAACTGAAATAAAAAATGGGTTGTCCTTCAGATTATGGTAGGGAACTGGGCACATGCAAAGAAGAAGCTAAAAGTTCAGACAGAAGCATCTGGATGCTGTGAGCTCTGGAGTCACCGTGGAGAGACTGGATGGAGGCAGGAGACAGTGTGCGAGTCAGCTGTCCCTGTTGGGCAGCTAGAGGGCTGGTTCTCTGGCCAGTCTAGGACCAGGGGCAGGACCCGTGGGCCTACAGGAGCACCATGTGGAGCTCAGGGAGTCTGGGGATGGGTTCTGAGGGGAAGGTGGGACTGGAGACCCACAGAGGCAGTCTGAACCAAGGGTCCATGTAATGGAGCTGGTAGAGGGGAGTGTTGAGTGGTAGTCCGGGAGTGAGAAGTGGGCTGAGCCACAGAGGAGGTGGGAAGGGATGGTGATGGGACAGTGTGTGCAGTCAGACCCTCTTTGTAGGGGGTTGTTGTTTCACTTGTGGGTGTCAGTCAACTGAACTGAAAAAGGCCTGGCCAGGGGGTTGGCCCCACCCCCACTCATACACATAATCATCAGACAACCCCTGATGTGGGGGATTTGAGACAAAGCAAAAGATCTCCCTGACCCAAAATATATTCTCCTTTGTCCAAACTAGAGCTTGACATCCATTTCTTCATTCTGAAACATCAGCTCCCAAAAAGTCGAAATGAAACATGTAACCTAGGCTGAGGAACCCATTAGCTCCTCCCAGGAGAGACAAAGACTAGCTCACCAGGTTCTCTGGGGCACAGTAGGGTGCTGTGGTAATGAGACATGGGATGAGCAAATTTTGACAAAAAGAAAGAAGGTCTGGAAAGGTCTAGAAGTATGGTTTTCAAAAACTCTTTTTGACAATCGAACCCTCTCTTCAAGTGAAACCTTACACAGAAGCCCAACATGCAAAGCAGATGAAAAGCAGGGCGGCCCTGGTCTTGTCTCCAAGTACCTGGTGAGGTGTGTGCTGCAGGCCTGTGCTAGAAGATCCCGCGGGCGCAGGCCGGAAGCGTTAGGTCTCCTGCTTATGTTTATTTTATCCAAAAACTAGACATAGTAGATGACAGCGTTTTATAAGAGGTATAAAAATTTTAAATATACATATATTGAGGGTATTCAAAATTTTTTATCACTGCTGAGTTTTGATCAAAAAAGTCTGGAAACTGTTTTTCTAGAGCTGGGGATACACCGAGTGGGTGCAAAAACAAGGAGCTCTAGAAGTCGGATGGGAGTCAGGTAGCCGGTCTTAAGGCCCTCGGCATGGGTGGGAGGTGGACAGGGTGGGCTGAAAAGAGAAACTGAGACACCAAGAAAAGAGAGTGCGGGTGGGCTACCAGGGACCCCTCTGTGGATGTCACTCTTTCCCGGATTAGCCCTCTGTGCTGGGGAAATCCTCCTCGCTTACAAATTTTTCTCTCATTCTATATTGCTCTTTTTAAATCTAAGTGTTTTCTTCCACTTGAAGCAAGGTCATTTAGGGAAGCCTGGGAGGGGATGTCTGCTTCAATTTTGTTGAATCCCAGTCTCTCTGGCACAAATGGTCCTGAGTTCTGACAGCGGATGAAACGGCAAGTTAGGCGGCAGTGTTGCTGTGCTGTGTCCTGAAGCAGCTCTCCTCATTCTGCCTTACAAACAGGTAGACTACAGAAGACTTCACCTACCCAGCGGGGAGAAAGTTAGCAAGCTTCCTGCCTTCATTCTAGGAGTAATATTAGAAATAAATTGCATGAGATCAGCATTCTTTGTCGCTTTGCCACTAAAACTGATATTTTCCCTGAGAGAGAGCCTATATGCAAAACACACAGCTCTGGACTTGGTTTCCCTTTCTGGATTATTGGGGTTGGCAACGTTAAATCTGAGACCTTTCTGCTGAGTTAGTCTATTTTCAGCAGGCCCTATGGGAAGAGGCTAGTCTGGCAGATAACTGAAATTCTGCCTAACATTTATCGAGCACTTACCGTGTGTTTAGGTGCTTTACGTACATTAACTGACTCAGCCCTCTCACGACCCTGCCAGCTAGTGCGGCCAACCTGCTGGTGCCCTGCTGACACTCCACAGCACACACCTGCTTCTTAATGCAAGCACCTGTGACTCTCTACCTATGCGCATTCTTTGGCCTCAGCAGAGAAAATGTTTGGCCTGTTTGCTGTGCGTGGGCAAGGCTGGGCACGCCAGGAGTCAATGCCCCAAAGAACAGCCCTCAACCAGCGATGGACAAAGTTGGTAGCTAGATACCCCAGCTTAATTCCCCCTGCCACCTCCCGCCACCACCTTGGGTGGGAAAAGTCTGAAGCATGCTCTACTTGGGTCAGCAAATTTTCTTCATAAACGGTCAGCTAGTAAATATTTTAGGCTTTGCAGGCCATACAGTCTCTGTTTCAGCTACTGAACACTGTCAATGTAGCACAAAAGGAGCCACAGATGCTATGTAAATGATTGGCTGTGCTGAGTTCCAATCCAACTTGATTTACACAAACATGTGGTGAGCTGCAACTGGCCCAAGGGTGATAGGCTGTCTACCCCTGCTCTACATGGTCACTCAGAGGTAACTTGTTTGTTGCCCACATTCATTGATCCTATATTCCCTGTCTTGCCAATCCATTTTTCTACCCTATTCCTTTTTTTTTTTTTGGAGGGGATGGGGGGAACTCAAGACAACTTAAGACAGTCCATAGACCTATTATCCTCATTTTAGAGATAAGGAAATCGAAGCAGAAGTTAAGTTTTTTGCCCAAGGTCATAGAGCTGTGAGTGGCAGTGCCCAGATTCCAATCCAGGCAGTCTGGCTCCGCAGTCTGGCTCCACATTCTAGGTTGTTAACTACTATGCTATATTGTATCTCTAATGCTTCAGTCAGCCAACAAACATTTGTACCTTTGAGCACCTCTAGGTGCCATGGGGATAGAAAATTTTAAATGGTTAAGGAGAGAAGTCACAGACAAAGACAAGGTCCACTAACAACACATTGACACTTGTCAAATAGATGGAGGAAACAAAAACGCTTGAAATCAGAGGAGGGAAAAATCTGCCCCACGTACCCCAATGACTTCCACGTTGCCAAATCCAATGGACACACTCGTGTCCTCATTATACTTGACCTCTCAGCGGCAGCTGGCGAAGTAGACCACTCCTGACTTCTGCACACACTCTCTTGGCTTCTCAGATACCATGCTCTCCTGGTTTCTTGTAACTCACTGACTGTTCTTTTTCTAGTTGCTTCTGCTCGTTCTTCCACTTCTGTCTGCTTCTAAGTGTTGGAGGGCTCAGGGATACACCATGGATAAACCTGCTCTTTTCTCTGTTGTCTAGGTACAGGGTCCCCGGCATAATCCCTCTAAGGGTGCCTGGGCCCCAGTAAGCAAAAGCCACTTTGGAGACTTGACTTCTTTGTTTACCAGACAGTCCTCTAGAGTAGTTGGAGCCTGTAGGCCTTAGCTTTAAAACTGGCTGATGCAATTTTACTGTAATACAGCAATTTGAAACATGGATAGTTTTTTGTTTTTTAAGATTTGGTGATTAATTTTTGGCTGAGGTTCCCCAGCTGCTGAAGGTCAGGTCACTGTTGATAAGCTTGGGCAGCCCAGCCCTGAACATCTGGCCACCCTGGCTGTGATGAAGCTCCTGGCCCCTTTTACCTGGCCACTCTGGGTAAAAGTCAGACTATATACAACTGGCCCCAGTGGGTGGTGTGGCAGTGACGCTGATGACCTCTCTCTGGAGCAGCCTGAGGCAATAGAACCCATGGTCGGCCCATGCTGTGCTGATCCCTGTGAGAAACTACTGTCTCTCCTTCCGTGAGAAGGGATTCCACTTCCTGAGCTAACAGTACAACAGTCTGGAGGAACAGAAGGCATCCTGAAAGGTTGCTTAAGTTTTCATCCATTCTTCACAAGCCTGTGTCTATGGATAAAGATCCACTCATTTAGAGGAGAAAGAATCTGCTCTCCTCTCCCCTGGAACCTGGAAATAAGTCTTTCGTTACATTAATCCATCTACTTATTTAACTTAGGTGATCCAAGCCACTTCCACGCCAAGATGTATATCCCTGGCACAGTCCTATTCCTTGAGTTTAGAATCCTATATATAAATGACCACTTGATGCTTCCTCCTAGATGTCTAATATCATCTCAACCATTATATGTTCAAAATGGAACTCTCCACCCTACTCCCCCCAGCCCCACAACATGCTTCTCCCGGGTCTTCCTCATCTCATTAAATGGCACTACCTTCTCCTCAGTGGCAGAAGCAAAGAACCAGGCATCATCTTTGATTCTTTCCACTGTTTCCCTCCCAAGATTCACCCCATCACCAAGTCCTGATGGTTCTACCTCCAAGAAATA